TTCAAAATGTTCTTTATAAAAAAGATAATTGATGCTGATGTCTAAATTATTGACTATAAATTATTGAAAAACAACTTCTAATTCCAGAGTCCCTATACTAAAAAGTTATTCATTCAAAGAAAACCTCATTAAAAATGTTCACAAAATATGTACATGGAGATGATCTGAGAGATTGTTGTAGTTTTTTAAAAAGTGTATTCTTAGATATGACATTTAAACCTTAGATCCTATAACTAAAATGACTCTATTTTTGGACTGGTGGTGTTTGAAAAAGTTTGTGAAACTTTTGCCTCTGCTGGCAATGAAAAATCCCAACAAGTTAGCAGAAATTGTGTGTTTGTATATACACAAATGCACATATACACACACATACCCTCACACCAAGTTATAATTCCAGTAACAAAGGTTGAATTGTGAGGTCCTTGGTGCTATCTGAGTGTAGTTATTGCCTGTGGACGTTTCATTACCCAACTAGGTAACATCATCACTGCATCCAATCGGTGCATTTCCTTACCTAGACAAGTAATTAATGTCTACAAACAAATATCCAAGCTCAGGGAGCACCAAGGACTCCACCAATTATAACTGTAAAGAATTCCATTAATAATAACAAAATAGGCTTTAGCATCACTAAAACTGGCTAGTTCATTCTCTATCATCTGTACCAGCAGATGTTTTTAGGAAAATGTTCAATCTTGCATTCTAGATTTCTTATGGTTGCAAATAAAAATGGTAACCCTTCCACTCTAAGTGAAACAGTGTGCTGGCAACCAGCATGTGATATCCTGTCCCACAGATTCCCCTCCTCCCCCAATTATTACAGTTAATTAACCAAGTAAGAGAGAGGAAAAAACTTATTGTTTCATGTGAACAAGTCCCTCGAGGTCACTCATTAGGCAAACAAATACAGAACCTAAATTGCAGGCCTTGACCCCAAAAGAGAGCACTTTTGTACAACATAATTACATCTATGATCCTGATGCCAAAGGGCATGCCTGATGTTTGCCTCTGAACAGAAGAGTGCTGTGAGAAAATATGTGCATAAACTAGATCCATTCTAGTACTGTATAGTGAATACAAAGACATTGTATATGCTTCGTTTTCTTCTCAACATCATATGCTTAACTGGCTGTTCCAAATTCAAATGCTGTTCTTCAAAGAAGGGGGTGAAAAATGAGGGGAAAGCACCTCAAGGACCCAGTAATGAATGCCCATCTAATCTCATCTTCTATGGGCAACTGGAGTAAAATTGCTGCAGATCAAGTGGCAGCTGTAATGAAATCCACCCTTAGCACAAAATAATAAAATAAACCCCTTGGGAGTTTCTTTTATTCTTCTGTGTTGTTAATGCCACAGGATCTTCCTATCTGTAGGCAACTTAAGCACTGGAGTGGGCAGGCAGCTTGACTACAGATGATGTCATATACTGTATGGAATATGCAAGGGGAAGCAGGAATGTTATTAAATGGTTCTTCTTCTGTATATCAAGCTCTTTGGCCATAGCGTGGGAGACAGCCTCAGTTTGACGTAACATTTTGCATCTGTGAATGTTTAAATAATTCTCACCGCTACCACAGTCTAAAAGTTTGTTTTACATACATGCGTGCTGTCGTGTATTTGGTGATAAAACAGGATGTCAGATGCAAAATGCAGATCCTGCATGCCTGAATGAACTTAACAGTGTAATCTGTGAATAACTCATAGGCTGGTGGGTTTTTTTTTTTGTTTTTGTTTTTGCCAGGAGTACATATGGTGCAGCCAAATGCTGTTTACTACGCAGGTATGTAATTGCTACCTCTGCCCCTTTCGTTAAACTATCAATTTGGGCATTAAGTGGAATGTGCAGACAGCAGGGAGGGGGGAGAGTTGGATCTTGTTTGTCTCGAATTCTGTGTTCAGCCTTTGAAACAATGGCTAAGTACAAACTTGATTAGGTTCCTACGTGTCCCTCATTGGCTGAATGTTAGGAAGCCAATGGGCATACATGTTTGACACTTGGCGGGCAATCACACATGCAATTTAAGGCTAAGAGCAGAGTGTGGTAGAACAGCCCAGGGGGGTCATCTCTTATATCCGTCTCCCGTGAGCGCGTTCCCTCTCCAAGACATCCGACCTACACGGTCCTTCAAAGCGCTTCAAACGTGCGAAGTCCCTCTAAGACAGCGGTCTGCAACCTTAAGAACTTTTAAGACTTGTGGACTTCAGCTCCCAGAATTCCTCAGCCAGCATAGCTGGCTGAGGAATTCTGGGAGCTGAAGTCCACAAGTCTTATAGTTGTCAAGGTTGCAGACCCCTGCTCTCAAGAGTTTCTGGTTGAGAGACTCGGCCATAAGTATATTCTAATCATGGAACAGTCCGGGAAGCTAATCCAAGAACCGAGGCTTCTGGTGCTCCGCAGCACCACAGGGCCAAACGAGGGAGCCAAACGGAGATCGGAGGATTTATTTGGTGAATTACGAGGGTTTAACGCAGTTTTAACCCATAAGAGACCCAGCTCGCATTTCCAACCCCTTGGCCGTAGAGCGCTGGGGCTTGGCCCGTGCCTTCCCGAGATTAAAAGTCAAGTATTGTCCGTTGCCATAGCGCCCGGAGAACTTTCCTCTCCGAGTCCCCGCGCTTTGAGCCTATCCTTGTGGAATTCGATTGCATCATCGCCTCCGACGCGCTCCGTTGCCATGACAACCCCGGGCACTAGGCAAGAAGGTTCCACCCGGCCCTCCCTCCCTCCCTCCCACCCGCAAATTCCCTTCCCAGAAATAAAAAACGGCCCGCGCGCTTTAGCGGCAGGAGCCAGGCAGCTTGCAAGCCGAAATCGCCTCTTCCTCCGCTCGCAAAGTCTTGCTTTTGCAGCCGGGCTTTTGCAGCCTTGCTCTCGCCATTGCGTGCTTGCAAGCGAGGCTACCCGCGCAGCCTTAATTCCCGCCTGTCTTTTTTCTCCTCCCCCGTTTTGAAACCCCCCCCCCAATCTAATATTTCATTTTAATTATGTTTTTAACGATAGTATTGTGGTATTTTTTGTATTTGTTTTTATCAGGCTGTCAGCCGCCCTGAGTCCGCAAGGAGAAGGGCGGGGTAAAAATTCAATAAATAAATAAATAAATAAATAAATAAATAAATAAATGCAAGTTTTGCAACCCGCGACTTGCAAAAGGTTGCTGCCTCGCTTCTCCTCGCCTGGGCTGCAGGTGCTTCCCTCTGGCGCTTTCTAACGAAACCACCGCCTGGCGTGCAAAGTTGCGCCCGCTCTGGGGGGGTGGGGTGGGGGTGGGGGGGCGACTCCGGCGTTTTGGCTCCCGGCCCTCGGACAGCTGAGAATGCTGCGGGGGGGGGGCGCTTTTTCAGCAAGGGACAAATGTGGCGAAGAGCGCTTCACCTGTTGAATTTTGCGCAGCTGTTAATGCCAGCTGCCGCCGCCGCCAAGCATTCCCTCGCCCGCGGGTGTCAGATGCGCTTGTTCACCACCCCCCCTTTGTCGCCTTGGTCCGATTTCGTCTCGGTGACCCGTTTTCCTCTTCCAACAACTCCCAACTCCAGTAGGGGGTAGCAAGTCCCGCGAGCGGACCAAGCCCATTTCCCCGTCTCCCCGGGAGAGGGTGGAAGTAGCCCGTAGGTTTTTTTGGAAGCCGTCTTCTCCCCCGAGTCCAAGCCACATTACCTCATGCTAAAGAACTCCCTGTCTGAAGAACCGGGCTAAATATAGCGAGTGGAAGAGAGAGTTGAAGACTTGGGCAAAAGGGAAGGGAAGGGAGGCCTTTCCACCAGGGGAGCGCTCCTCCTTGCCTTCCGCGCCCTCCCCAGGAACGTGGGCGCCGATTCAGGAGGCGCCCCTTTCCCTCCGCTCCTTTCTGACCTCGGTGCATCTATCTGTGCTTTCCTCCCCACCCCAACCCCCCACCCTTCCCCCCCCAGCAGATCCCAGGCCCGCGCCCTGAGCGCAGCATGCCCGCCCCGCTGCTCGTCCTCCTGCTTCTGCGCACCCTTCTGACTCGCCTGTTGCTGCTGGCTCGCAAGCGCCTCCTGCCGCTGCTCCGGCGCCTGAGGGCCCGCCTGACTTCGCAGCAGTCCCGCGAGGCCATCCTCACCTGCCTGCTCTGCCTCCTCAACCTGCGCAAGAAGGTGGACGGCGACTGAGAAGAACTCCCCGGAGGAAGGGAGGGAAGGAGGGAGGGGGGCGGCACCCTCTTTCCCAAATTTCGGGACTCTGAAGTGGTAATCCCGGCACCCCACCTGTCCGGGAGCCTCGTTGGGAGGGAGGAAAAGACGTCTCCTCCAAGCGCCCGTTTTTCCCCATCAGAAGCGACGTTTAGCTTTTCTCGTGGGAAAGAGGGCGCTCTTCCAGCCAGGAGAGAAGGGAAGCTCAAGAAGTATTTACCAACCGTATTCCTCTCCAGGGGAAGATTAAATTTTTGGATCTCGTTTCTTAAGATCCACCCCCCCCCCCCAAACCATTCCTCCCAACTTCCAGGCTCTCTAAATGGGTTTTTTTTTTTTCTTCTTCTTTTTCTCTTTGCTCAGTAAGCCAAGACCCAAGTTCCCTCCCTCAATTCTGCTCTCTCCGCCTTTGTTTTCCGGCAAAAACGGATCGATGAGTGACTTCCTCGCAGAGCTTACTACCACTGTCCAGAGAGAGAGACCTGGCTTGGTGGCAGCTGTGTAACTTCTGCTAGAAAACCAAAGAAGGCTTGGAAGTCCTCTTTGGACATTTAAGGAGAAGCTTCCCTTGTGAGGGCGCTCCCAAATGTGGATGCCGGAGGAAAAGAGCAGAACGGATCCAATGGGACATATTTTCCACCTCTGAAGGGGTTTTTTTTTTTTTGGTTTTTTTTTTGCATGGGATGGAAGAAGCCAAGGCAAATCTTGCCGCTTCTGATTTTGCCTTTCTTTCTATGACCTCCTCCTACAAGAGGCCCTTTCTCTCCTACGAAAAGCAGTGGGAGTTTATCAAGATTTGTGTCCTAGCATTTTTCTAGGGCCCCTGTAAGGCTTGCGCTAGGGAGACAATGTCCGGTAGCACAGCAAGGAAGGTCCAACCGTTCACTATTAGCACCAAATTATCTCTGCCCAAGTGTGCCCTGGAATTTCCAAGAGACAGCTGTACTGACATTCCTCTTGCTGCTCTGAATAACCGTGACTTGCACCAAAACCTCAATGAGTGTGTCTCCCTGTATCTGGCTCAGACATCTCTGGAGCCTGCTGAAGGAAGATTTAAAAGCGCTAGTCCTATTGAAGAGGTGATTGCCAATGATGATTGTATCAATAGCAATTCGCTGTCCCGTTCCATTAAGAAGATTACTTTGTCCAATTGGCATGGAAAAGATGGCTTAGGGGAAGAAGGGATATTCAGAGGCCATTCCCACACCAGTGCGGAGAAAAACTACAACAACAACAACTGCAAGGCAGGAAAAGCACAATTCAAGGTAAGTCTTTCATTTCTCCCCTCCTATTTTTGCTGTGTTCTGCGCTCTGCACTTCAAATCTCTCTACAATGCCGATTACACCTGGCTTTAGGATCTTTGTGCAAGCCGTTGTGTGAAAAGGCATCCCGAGTGGCAAAATTAAGGGTGATGGAGATCTGAAGTTCAGGATTCCCCCAATGTATCTGCTGAGGAAGACAATTTTCTGGAGAACTTGATCACATGGGGGTAAAGTTTATTACTTCCCATTGCCTGATATAATCAAACATGAACAAAGACTAATGCTTTTTTCCTACAGGGGTAAGACATATGTGCTGCTTAAGTTCTACCTGATTTCTAGTCACTATTTATTTAAAGACTTTGCCCTCTGATAGCTTTTATCAGCAAAGCAACTGCATCACTCTGAGCTAGACATGGTACCCTACTTTTAACATAATTATCTTTCCATAGAACTCCTCACAAAACTAATAGTAGGACCTTGAGATTTCTGGTTCCATTTTATTATTTTTTCTAGTTCCATTTATTTATTCCATTTCTTATCTCATGTGTTTGTTTATTCTCTTTTTGTGTATGTTTTGTTGTGGAGAATTTGTGGATGGTGTAATGAGACTATATTACCTCTGAACATGGTGGAACAAGTCTAGAAAAAGTTACTCATACAATTAGTAAGCATTTAAATTTCCATCTTCCAGCATTTTTTTTAACACAAGGTTATGTCATTTCTCTGTATGTATTATAAGAAAGTATCATGCCAAGTAATGCCAGGAAAGGCTTAGAAATAGCTTGTTGTGTTGTAATGGTACTAGGATTTGAATATAAACAGTGGTCCGTGCTAGAGTAGCCTTTTTTTGTTTCTACAAGATTGTGTTGATTTTTATTCGGAGAAAGGATTATGAGAGAGACATTTGGAAATCTGAGAAAAGGTGTACTGTTCGGCAAAACGTCTTGTCAGAAAGATGCCTAGGATCACATGAGTTTAACACTTCAGTTGCTTTATAGCCACTTTCCTAAATGAACTGTAAATATTCATGGAGAAAAAATAATATTGAGGCCAGCTACATGGTATCATGTGAGGTCAGTTCTGTGAAATTATGAAACATGTTCCAATGGGATGAGTTGAGGCCATGTCATTCTGTTTTGGTTTTAATAACGAAGATGAGATTTTTTTTTTTTTTTAAAAAAAGTTTCCCTGCAGGCATTACTAACTGTTATCTCGTCAACCCCAAGGAAAGTGTTGCCCAAACTGAACTTGAAATCTTGGCCAAGAATCATTCTGAAAGCCCTTATGTGTTTTTCCGGCATTGAGCCTTATAAGATACAGGATTAGTGCTTCCTACGGGAAGATTGATTTACTCCCAGTTTGTACTGTTACTAGCTGAGGAAGATTCTTCTTGCCAGTTCATTCCTCAGTTGCAGCCTCCACATTCCAAATTTAAAGAAAGATTGACTCGGTTCTTGTTTTCACATGTGCTCCCGGCTGCTGCTGCTGCTTGTTGGATGGGATCCGATGGTGGGGGAGGGAGCCCTACCTCTGCAATCCAAGTGGAGCAGAACTGCAGGAAGGATGAAATCATTTTTATGCTGACAGCCTTGTTTGCCTGCAGCTGATGGATTGAGGGAGCTTCACATGTAAATAAAGTGCTTATGTCACCTGCAAGCTTATCTCCCCCAACTCTGGTCGGGGAGAGGCCAAGCAGTCCCAGCTGGGGAAAATAGACAGATATTGACCACTTTGATTGAACATTTCTGATTACCACAAATCATACATATGGAATTAATAGCTATTAGATGTTTGCAAAAAAAATAACCTATCCGTAAACAATAGAAATACAGGATTGTCTTGTCAGGCTTTCACCACATAACAAAGCACACAAATTTACTCCGTGGCTGAACTGCCCATCATTTACATGCTAAAGTGTTCTAGATCTTTTGTATCTTATGCAGACAATACAGACTTTCCCTTTACTGCACACGCCTTCTTGAACTTTGGTCCCAGGATAGATTATTCCTATTTCAATAAGAATTGAAATGGAAGGGATGCACCTTTCAAAAGTGATTTAGGAAAATGCTGTGGACCTCACCCAAGCTCTTGTTTTCAGACATCTTGAGCAATTCTGAAAAAAGAAACTCTAGTGCAGCCGATGAATCCTATAATTAACCATTGTAACTTTGACCTGATTCCTGAAACAGCAACATACTTTTTTCAGGCTTCCATGGAAGAGATATGTGCTCATGCTTCCAATTAGTCTGAGGCATTTCTTCCAAATTATTTTTCAGATGATGGAATAGTTAGTATTTATGTATTTAAGACTTATACGGTCTTGTGAGAGGGTTTTCTGTTTTCCATTTTCTGGGATCCCAGAGATGTACTCCAGCATCGAACTCTTTCAGAGAAACATTGGAACAGTGGTTCATATATTTAAATAACATCCCTCATTGATGATTGTAATCATCAAAGAGGGTGGCTACCATTTGTAAAGTTAAATTGAGCACCAAACTCATGACGTTCATTGGAAATCTTCAGACTTTAGGACCAAGACTTTCAAGACAATCTCATGTCTGTAGAAATTGCAATGATGTCAAAGTCATATAAACATGTACATTAGTATGCCATTGTGCAAACAGTGCAATTATTTAATTTACATCAGTTGCATCATGATGCATGATGTTGTTACTTGCACCACCACTCTCCAGGTGCCTATGGAACTTTAGTTTACCTAATCAACACAGGGAGAAAAGTATTTCAGGATCAAAGCAATTTATTTTACACTACATAAATATAAGACAAATTTGCTTAGGTTTGTACTGTTGAAAACCCAAAAGTTATTAACAAAGCAAATGTGTATTTAGGTAGAGCTACCAACTGTAGTTTGCAAAAATCCAGATGCCCCTAGATGGCAGCAGAGAAATATTGAAAATTGTGACCATCAAGTTATAGATAGACCCTAATATAAAAAAGTTTTATATAAAAATTGTAAAACTTTAAAAATGTTACATTTTCAGAAAAAATAGTAATAAACAATACAAAAATATATCTAAACATTTGAATATTAAAATATAGCTTCATGTAAGAACTGTTAAGCATAAAATTTAGATATTTTTTGTTCTAATTCCTAGCTTCTATTAAATTGTAGTTGTACCTGAAAGTTGTTAAGCATAAATTTTATATACATAATATATATACATACATACATAGCTCTAATTCTATCTTCTACTTTTATGAATGTCCTACTTATATATGAGTTCATTTGGAATTTAATGGAATCCACGTTTTTTAAAGTGTATGAAAGTGTATGAAAGTGTATGAGCAAGTGTATGAAAAAGATTATAGGTACAGGGTGGAAGACTCTCCAGATAGTAGTGGATGATCACAGGATATTTCAGTATTAGATATGCTAAGTGGAGCTTATAGGAATTTGGCAATAACAGGAAGGCAACAAGTTTCCAATGTTTAGAATACATACTTGTGGAATAAGGAGTTATTGTTTTCCCACAGATAAAGAGTATGTAATGCTTCATCTAGCATTAAGTCACCATTACTTTAATAGATTTGCTGTTCACATGAGTATTATGAAAGTCCTTTATATCTTCACTGCTAATGCAAGATAGATAGATGTTGCAGAGAATAAAATGTTTGGAGATACTAGTGTTCTAATTTATCCTGGCTACCTTTGACCATTGATTATTGTGTCTGATTTGTTGATTCTTCTTTTTCCATATCCACATGCTAAGTCTTTGTGTAAGAGTGAAGAACTATGTTCAAATTCATTTGTTAATTCAGGCACCCTTGAAAAATGTCTAGCATAAGTAGTGTTGGGTGTCATAAAATTTTAGATTGGAATTATTTTCTGCTTGTTAGCAAGTATCATTAGGGTTATATATAATATAATGATACAGTATAGCAAGCATGACTAGGAGAGCCTTTGCACAGCTTCGGTTTGTACACCAGCTACAACCTTTTCTGTGATCAGTTACTCAAGCCCTAGTCATCTCTGAAGTGCAATAGCAGTAGCACTTAGACTTATATACTGCTTCTCAGTGCTTTACAGCCTTCTCCAACTGGTTTACAGGGTCAGCATATTGCCCTTGACAATCTGGGGCCTCATTTTACTGACCTCGGAAGGATGGAAGGCTGAGTCAACCTTGAGCCAGTGAGACTCAAACTGCTGGCAGTCGACAGTTAGCACAATTAGCCTACAGTACTGCATTCTAACCATTGCGCCACCACAGCTCATGAACTATACATGGGACTATCCCTGAAATCCATTTGGAAGCTTCATTTGGTTCAAAGTGCAGCAGCGAGAGCAGTCTTTGGGGCCCCTAGAGCTGTCTGTATTGCACCTCTGCAATACAGCACAATATAGCTACCGATCTGCTTCCAGATGCAGTTCAAGATGTGTGGGTTGGTTATGACTTTTAAAGGCCTTAATGGCGTAGGTCCAGGCTACCTGATGAATAGACTGCTAAGACAAACATGCCCCACTTACGCTGGCAGAGAGGGCCTACTGCAGGTCCTGTCAGTCAAAGAACTCTTGACTATCGGGATCCAGAAGAAGAGCCTTCTCTGCTGTGGCAGCCACCCTTTGGAACATCCTATCCTCCAAGGGGAGATCTGTCTCCACCCTCCTATCGTTCCATAAGAGTCTGAAGACCTGGTTCTGCTGGTTGGCCTGGGGACCCAAATGGGGAGTACCACACTGAGGTGGCTATTAGACTGAGCACAACCCCCCCTCCCTCCTTCCTCCCTACTTCTCCACCCGCCCATCTTTTATTCCCATATTGCAGTATCATTGTTTTCTTTTTTATTGTTTATTCTATTGTTCCATTACTTTACTACTGTTGTGTTTCATTTCTCCACTTTTATTGTTGTAATCTGCCACGTTAAGATAGGTGGAAAATTAATTTAACAAATAATAATAAATATTGACTTCCTCTCAATTGTGGTACCTAATAATGTCAACAAGAGGGATGCTATAGTGCATTATTTGAATGGTGGGCTTACCTTTAAATTACTATTTAATTCAGCTCTGTACATGTATTTTAAAAAAATCGGTAATTGAAAAAAAACTTTTTATTGATCATTTTTTTTGAAAATGAGTAAAAGAAAAACTTGGACAATGTATATTTCATCTTCTCATGACTACCTGTGGGCTTGCAACATAGCAACAGTTAATGGGAGGAACCCTTGTTAAAAGGCATGTCTCATTGACAGTCATGGGGATGCAATGCTCATCTTAAAGCATAATCAGGACAAGGATTTGTTAAAACATAGTAAAATTGAAAAGTCTGCATTTTGCCATTGCCATCTTGGCAGCTCAGTGTCTAGCTACTTGATTAGTCTCCAGTGATTTTTCATAATTGGGGCATAATCATCATACTAATTTTTCCTATAGGTGTTCCTCAGAAAAGAAGTGGAACCAAAGGAAGAAAAACAGAATGTGAGAAGCCCCCAGTCTTGTGACAATTCTCTAGTTGGCAGAATTGCACCTTTTGTGGTAGGTTTCTTTTACATCCTGCCGAGTTAAAGAACACTACTGTATATAGTTGAATTCAGTTGATGATTAGGAGTGAAGCTTGACTCAGAAAACACTGGACTTTGTACATAAAGGATTAACATCAGTGTAGATTTGAGCCTATCCTTACCTGCAGCAGGTACTTCCACGAATCTTTAATCTAATCCTTGCTACTCTCCTAAGTAACAGGAGATTGCCTAAGCTTGGTGAACATTTCCAGCATCCATAAATTCCATTAGATATTCAAATCCTTGTTTATTGACATTATCTATGGATGTTGGCTTGCATGAGATTTATCTATAAACAAAGAGGCACCTCTTATATATAGTTTATGTTTGATTTTAATAGACTCCAGCCTCAGGCTATTTTTCTAATACAAGTCACTAACTTATTAATATAAATTATCCGAATGTTTTGGATTTTGGATCCGAAGAAAGGATAAGCATTGATTGATTTATGATGACTTAGTTTAAATTGATGCTTTTTATAATGCTTCTGAAAAAGACTTTTTGCTAGCATCTTGCTAGATAGTAGTCAATAAATACACAAATCTTTTGATGCAATTACCATTTTCACATTTAAAATCTTGTTATAAGTTCTGCTAGGCCTTTGTGAAATCAGTTTTGTGTCTTCATCGGTTGAAATCTTGCCTTTTCACACAAGATGCTTAAATTATGGAGGGAAAGGATGACAGCCCATTGAAGAACTCTGTAAATCATATCCATATCCTCCCAAACTGTAATTAAACCGTTCTACCATATCCTTTTTAGTTAGTAACTAAAGAGGCTACTAGAGAAGATTTGAGGGGTGGTGGGGACTTCTCTGTTTCTTCTATAACTGAAGCTTTGTACTGGAAAAGATGAAGGAAGAAAGTGCAAGATTCCCAGTCTAGCCTAGAAATAAAATCAGGAAATATATAATTCTCACTGTATCCATATTCTTGTGAATTTTAAGGCTTTTCCCAAGCAGTATAACTCTCTTTGTTATCTGAATCAAGTGAGGCTGTCAAGATGCTAAACCAAAGATAGAGGTGCACTGTACATAGATAGTTCTTCTCTAGTCTGGCAAACTGGTGTTGAACCTAGTTTAGTTACAGCTGTCATCTTATCTGAACAGAAATAATCTTGCCCTAGTGATTCACACTCTGGTAGCATTCTGTTTCTGTTAGTAACACACTGTCTATTGTGTGTTGGTCTGCAGGTGGAAAGAACTTGGCAGCATCAACATCACTCAATCAGATGACCAGCTTCTTCCCCTGTGACTTTCTTAAATTCTTTCAGAATCATTATGGCCCTGCATAGTTTCTTTATCTAAAAGTAAAATAGAAGTTTGTTCAATATTAACTACAAGTGTGTTCTATTTTCTATTGTTGAGTGGGAAGGTAGTACTTGAAAAAAGGAATCAATGTGCGATATATTAGGTACAAAAGTGGCAAAAAGGAAAGATCTACAGATTCTCACAACAAAGAAAATACAAGCATATATAATCTGATTGTGAAGACTGCTTCTTAGAATTGGATATACTATGATGTATCAGGTTGTTTGCAAGGCATAGATTCTCATATTTTTATAAGCCCCTTTAAGTTGCAAAAAGCCATAGCTCTAAAGAGAATCAGAGAGAAAACCACCATTAGAGAAGATAAATAACAGACTCTCATTTAGTCTCTGTGGAACAATTTGATTGTCTTGAGAACTGCTGTGGGTTCATAGGATTTGACATAATGCAAAGCTCATGATTTCCCCTCCTTTCATTAAGACAGAAAGCAACATTAACCTTGGTGTTTATAACGTTTCTTTGCAAGAGTTATTTACAACTTGGTAACTACATTCCATTCTCTGCCTGGCTTATAGCCATCATGGTTCAAGATTTAAAATACATTGTAAAATGGGCCTTTTCCTTTACTGTTCTAAATATTATGCAGCCTAAGTGCAGTCTGTATTTATGCATTCTACAGTATTGGTTTAACAAATATGTACCCACACATATACACGGCACTATTTATAAATACTCTTTCTACTTTTTATTTAGAAAAAAAGTAAGATGCTAAATGTACTGGCCAACATACCCTTTTAGGCTGGCATAAGCTTTCTCTCTAGTTGATATAGATTCACATCTTCCATTACTTCAGCCCCTGCAGAGAGTAGAAAAGAACTCACAGCACCATCTCCTCTTTGGATTGACTCTTCTCAACAACCAACAAACTACCTCCTTAGGTTGCCAGCCCTCTTCCAATTCTACAAGTTCCCTTTTCCAGCAGACTTTTTATTTTCTTAAGTCTTCTTTTCTCTGCCAACTCAGTATCTGCCCCACCCTTCTCCTATGGGAAAAGTCTTTTGGAACACCAAGCTATCTTTCCTTTTACTTTCCAACCACAAAACAAAAGAGTATCTGTTTGGATGCTTGCATGAATTTGTGACAGGCTTTCAGGAAGGTATGGGCTCGTGCATGCTGATCAAATGAAGAGGTGAAATAAATACAATTGATCTTGAAAAACAGAAGTGGACCACCCACATGCCTTGTACCAAAATGTGGCTCATACAGCTTTTAGGAAATAGGGAACTGAACCTCTGATAGTGATAGCCAAGTAATAAAGGCACATTTTCCAACCAGTTTTCAGCAGGGGGGGGGGAAATCCTTTAAAATGGTATATAAACCTTCTTTTAGCTTAATGCACCAAGCTGTCTATCTCATTCACCCAAACAGACTCTGTTCTATTAAACTTCAATAATAATAACTTTGCATGAAACACTGTAGTTTTTGACTGCTTCTTCCCCTCCTTTTTTAAAAAAAAATTGTGCCTCCTCGTACTCTATAACTTAGTACTAAGTAGCAATGTGGTTTCTTATAAAAGACTTTTTAAAAAACTGCTTGCTTGATAAATTGCATATATTGTTGTAGAAATGGTTGGATACACATCTCTAAAACTAGTTCACCAACTGCCTTTCTGATGTCTGAATACAGCATTGTCACATCTCATTTGTGAGCAGGTGTATGTAATGATATAATCTAGAAGATTGTTACAAAACAACACATGATGTCAAACTATCTGCAGCCAACATAAATGACCAGGGTATTGTCTGTTAGTATTACAGACTGCTAATTCCACGAGGATGTGACAAACAACTTAGTCTGAAGCATAGGCTGATGGAAAATGTCGGGACACAGTTGCCGCTTCCTGACCCTCTGCTTTCAAAGGCTGTGCCCATGACAGTCCCTTTTTTGTGTTCCTGCATTGAGTGTCCTTCTTGTTCATTTTCAGTCTCCCTCTTTCTTTCCTGCCAGACAGAAACTCATTTCTGGGGAAAATTTCATGGGAGGAAATGAATTAGGTTACTGAGCAAATCATAAGCTTATCTCAGTGGAAAATTGAACAGGACGCACAGCATGGGGAATGACAGCTCAGATTGGCTTTCTATGACTTGTTGCCCTCCAGATGTGTTGGATTGCTCCTCTCATTATATCAACCAGTATGGTCAAATGTCATGCTGACTGGGAAGAATGACAGTCATAGTCCAGCAAGTTTTATTCTATTTCTAAAAATTATTAGTTACATGTAGCGATGGTCCATAGGGCAAAATGCATATAGAAGCATGCTAAAATATAAAATCATAGTAAATACAATTAAAAATAACTCCAAATCTATAAAACAGATTTAGGAGCTATTAAAACATCTCCTAAAAACATACCTATTTAACATTGCAGAGAATGTAAAGTCCTGAAAAATAAACATATATTTATGCAGTGCTGAATATGAAGTAGAATAACTGGGGCCTTTTAGGGAGGGTATTTCATAAAAGAAGATGACTAATACTAACGCTTGTTTCAGTGTAGTCAATCATTCAACACATCTCAATATACAGTGGTAGAGCACAACTTCCAGTTATCACACGAAGTCCTGCCCAATGGTAGGAGTATTCAATCATGGAAGAGTAGCTTATAATCAAGGACTCAGTTGCCGATGGCATTTCTTTAATGGTGGCCTTTTGCAATGCGCTTTCAGATTGCCTAAGCCATTGCATAAAATTAGAAATTTACCACCCAGTGCAGCTTGTTATTCACTGGGAATTAGCTGTGTTCATTCTCTCCTATTCTGATCCAAAACATCTCTGTATTATAATGGGCCTCATGGTGTTTGTTAGGCATTATTAAATCTTTATGGAAGAAATGAGAATTCTCTTGCCTGGCCTTAGCTATATGGCTGAAAGGACAGAACAATTCATATATTCTTGGGAGAAGTTAACTAAATGTTGCATTGTACAACATAAAATTATTGCCTTTTGTAGCGTAGCTATAGCCACAGGATCACATTTTCTCTGTAGAGGTGATATATACTCAGATGCATCATATTCAGTTATTTTATGTGCCATTTGGTGCTCTACACATGTTTTAAATGATAGTTCCTACAATTTACTGCCAGCACTCATGCTTTTAAGGGTATTTGGAGTTTAAAAAAAAACAACAAAAAAAGATTGAGAGGGCACTGAGCTGCCTATCCCTGTTCCATAGGTATCATGACTATTTCCCCACCATCACTGACTTATATTTCCTGTGCTGTAGTTGGGGATCCTTTTATGTCTTATTTTACAAAGGTGGTTTTAAACTTCTTGTTCTGTGCTTTATCTTTTAAGTCCTATTGATCTCTGTGTCCCCAATGGGACTTGAGATATAGTATTTGCAACGTTAGCCCTCCCTAGTATTTTGTTGCTGGATTTTTGGCTGAGTTTGGATAGAGGTCACTTTTATAGCTGCCAGTCCCCTAGTTGTCTTGGAGCAGGGACAAAACATTGTGTCATTGCAGAGCTCAAGAACAAAGCTTGGAAGCTATTCAGGGCTCCCATTCGATGAGTTACTTAAAATAAGTGTCTTTAGTCAGCCTTTCAGGAGTCTAAAGCTCATTTGTAAAGCAGGCAGGCATGAAGTCATGCTTTTGTTTTAGAAGTTCACGAGAAATTGCTTTAGTTTCTCCTGGAGCCTGAAGGAAAGAAAGCCAGAGCAGGATAGTAGAATTAGAAGAAATTTAACACGAAGTTAAACATAACAGTTTTGGAAAATGTTGCTTATGTTACAATCTAGGCTGATGGTAAATGCTGAGCCGAATGGACAGTCCTTTCCTTATAAACCAGATTCTTGTATTCGGTGGAAATGCAAACACTCTGATGGATTTCAATGACCCAGAGTAATTCAATGGATACTCTGATGCAGACTGCAGTGAGCTTGAAACTGGTCAGGGAGCTTCTATGGACTGCATTCTTAGGCCATTATGTAAAGGACAAATACTACAGTGGAACAGAAATTTGCTGGGAAGCAGGATATAAAGCAAATTAATAAACAAGCCAGCTTTCAGGAAGGCAAGGACAGCTTAAAATTTTTGTGTTGAAAATATAATTCTCTAAACCAAATAGTAATGTTTAAGTATTTGTCAGCTATGGGCACAAGTAGTGAGATGGGGAAGCCTACATTTAATATCAAAATATGTATTGAGTGAAAAGTATGCTAGATTCTCCTCAGGTTTCCATAATTTTCAATATTTTTTTTAACCCTGGTCACATTTCTAGTTTCAGAATTCAGTTAATTCTTTTGTTTATGCAAACACACACACACACACACACACATAGGATTTCAGATGCAAAATGGACATATTTTATAAAACGTTATAAAAATTTAATAAAATCAACAACCATTAAATTTGTCAACTCCTGCTTTATAATGTATTGTGTAGCAATAAAGATACATTAACTGCTGAGCAATTACAGCTTTATGGTCAGAACTATTATATTGTTATTTCAAGCCAACATAAGCATGAGGATGAAGCAGCATAGCTGTAATATCAGCCATCATTAGCATCTGATGCCATCAAGTAATATTACTGTATTGTGCCTAAAACTGGAATTACCTGATTTGAGCTGCAAAACTTCAGATGAGCACTAGATGGTAGCAAAGAGTTGGTTTTTGCATATCTCTTTGCTACCATCTAATGGCTGCCTCACACAAAACATGAGGGATGGGAATGAAGTGTATTTGGAACACATTCATACAGAGATTCTGTCCCAGTTCAAAAGCTGCTACAGGCCTCTATAATCCTACTACTTTGGCTAAATTGGCAGCTTACCTAATTTATTTCATTTTAGCTCTAGAATAACTCAAACCACATAAAAGCTTGCTTTTTTTCTAAGTATGACATTCCACAGAATTTATGGGTATTCCATTTCCTCCCTGGAGCAAAACCCTTGTTTTCTGAGCCTCAGTAACCACAGAGGTCTTTTAAAGGGAATATTTCCTTGATTCTATTGTGAAATTGTCAAGATTTTGTCAATTTTCCTTTCTCTTTCTAATGGACCAGGTACCTGGAAAATACCCAGCTTTTGTTTCACTATTTTTCCCTCTTTCTTTTTTATGTGGAATGGAGAAATGAGATTTCTTGTTCAAATTACCTAAAAATTAAGAATTTTCTTTAGAATTTGCAGGCTATTCTTGCGTATGACAACTGCAATAGGAGACATTAGGAAAAGCTGCAAATGTTATGACTAGATATGCTGCATTTTCAGCAATCAAGAGAGATTTTTCTTATAAGAGGAATGGTAGCTTCACTTTGTTACAAATTCTTACATATTTACAAGTAAGGAAAAGTATAGATATATACTAAAGACAGTGGTGGGATTCAGATATGTGAACAACCGGTTCTCTGAGTGGATGCCTCTTCCGGAAGTCCATTCTGGGCCTGGGCAATAAAAAAAATAGCTACCGATTCTGCTGAAGTGGTGCGAACTGGCTGAATCCCACCACTGACTAAAGACCTACGGTGGCAAGGAGGACTACCAATTTAATTATTAGAGTGGAAATGAGATTTTGTTGTAGTTGTTCATGACCAGGCAGTAACTTAAATGGGTCTTTGATTGAATGACTTTGGGGTTTCTGCTGGTTAGTTGGAGGAAGCACTGATTGGTTCATTGCCAACTCAACACCTTCTCAATGTGCCGAAGTCAGCAGGAGTAAAGATGATTGACAAATCTTTGAACTGTTTTGGAAGGATTGGGTAAAGAAATCAGTGCCATGTGAAGTGCCTTCAAGTCTCTCTCACACACCATACTGTACATTTGAAGGAATGTAACAAACTCCAAGACTTTTCAAGCATGTAGTAAAGAAGCCTTAACACAAAATTGAGCATCTTTTCAGCAATGCATAGTTTTAGGGTGGGGCAATTAAAGCTCAGCATTGCCATTTCATATCCAAACCAGTGTTGGTTTTCGAACCAAAGGTCAGTTAAGTCATAATTACTTCTCTTTTCTCTGATTTCGGCCAAATCCAAGAAAGCTAACTTTCTCACTCTGTCTCTCTCTCTCTCTCTCTCCTTCCTAGACTGCAAGCTCTGCTGCAGCATCTCCTTGGAAAGAGAGCACCAAAAATACCAAACCAGGCACAGTAGTGGAGCTGAAGCCCTGCGCAGAAAGCAGCACAGGAGTGGCAGACCTATCCAAGTGGAGCCTTCTCCTAGCCCAGTTCAACTGTGACATGGTGCAGGTAAAGAAAGGAAACTGGCAAAGGAGGAAATTGGCTTTGCTGCCACCACAAAAGAGGACAATAAAAGGCTGTCTTCTGCTCTTCTTTTCAAAACTGCAGTAGAAAGGAAGAGAGCGCAGTGTTTTGCTGCCAAAAGACTTTCCTTTATTAGAGTGAGAGGACGTGCAGATGGAAAGAAGCAAGGTTCTTTGGCTAGCGGGAGGGAAGCTGTTGCTATGGCATGAGGTCATCCTTGGCAGCCTCTCTTTAAGCGCAGGGGTTCTCAACCTTGGCAACTTTAAGACTTGTGGACTTCAACTCCCAGAATTCCTCAGCCAGCTGTGCTGGCTGAGGAATTCTGGGAGTTGAAGTCCACAAGTCTTAAAGTTGCCAAGGTTGAGAACCCCTGCTTCAAGGCAAAGGACAGAGGACAGTAGGTCAGTCCACAGAAATGTTGCTTTTTTCCCCCCATTTTTTTTTTAAGGAAAGGGCATGACATAGACGTCTCACTTTTGTGCAGGGAGGGCAGTTAAATGTGATTGGTGTAAGTCTGCAAACATAGAAGGGGTTGTGGACATGTGCCTTCAAATAAAACAGTGAAATAAACGATGGCTTTTAGAAGGTTCTGAAAGTCTTGAATGTGGACTCCAGTAAGGAAAGTCCCTGGTTTACTGTCATCGTTTACTATAATTTCGTTGGCCGTGAAAGAAATTGCTCAATTACTTTCTGCTGATACTTTAGCAACAGTTGGGTGATACAAACACAAAAGATTTAATGTGTCTCACCTGTTCTGGGAAGCTGCTAATGCTTGCCTGGTTCTTGGGTGTAGGCTGTCCAAAGCAGAAGCTCGGGTTGTGCCAATTTCCTTGATTGCCTCCTTTGCAGATTTTGTTAATCCCAATGTTTCTTGGTTTATGAAGCACAAAGCAAGAATGTGGATATTGTGTAGATATCAAAGTGAGTAATGTAGCTATGAGTTTAATAACTAATGCTGATAGATTTAGCAGTCCTTAAGTGAAGATGAAAAGCTGCTGGAATAATGAATATTTTATTCCTTGAAGCATCTAAATGCATGTCTCAACTTTTAGGGCAGGTCTGTGTGTAAGTGAGAAAGATGGAATGACTGGGTTTCACATAGCAACGGTAATTGGGCTAATGTCAAGTGCAAATAACCAGGAGCATTCATTGAGTTCAAAGCACAGGGGAGTTTATTATTGCTACCTAAACACAAGAATCTAGTCAACTAATGGTCAGAGCTAAACTGGCCCTCAATAAGGGTCAATGGAATTCACTGGAGGCTGGACTTGGCTCTCTTCTGGTAACACAGTGACTCCAAACTGATAACACGTTTAACTTCACCTTGCAGCTCAGCCTGCTCTTCTCCTACAGCTTATTCATTTCATCAGGCCATGATTTGTCTGTTGAATAACTCAAAATGAATGGGTTCACACTTCATTACACCTACATATAAGAACCTAGTCCAGTGGTGGCGAATCCATGGCATGTGTGCCAGAGGCGGCACTCAGAGCCCTCTCTGTGAGCACATGTGCCATACCCCAGAGATGGCGAGGGACTGGCCCCCACTGTCCTGGCCCCACCTATCCAGTCTGCCATGACCACTGCAGCCATGCCCACCCGGCACCCGGTGATAAATAAGTGGGTTTTGGGTTGCAGTTTGGGCACTGAGTCTCTAAAAGGTTCGCCATCACTGACCTAGTCAATGGATGTGTGTTTGCACTTCCCAAACCTATATAGCCCCTCCAGAGAAACGAAGATGCATGCATGTGTTGTAAAGAGGAAATTATCTTCCTCCAAGTTAGATTGTGTAATCATCCAGCTAGTCTTCATTCTGTGATCAGGCAGCATTTTTCTGTAGTGCTTGCAATTAGATTATTTATTAGAGTTGGTAGGATTTATACTGGGGGTCTTCTATTACAGAACAATATTGCTTTTCTAAGGACTTTCAGTACCAAAAGGCATTATTCAGATTACGTCCATGGTTGTCCAACACAGGGCTCTCTTATGCCTCATCCTGTAATCCAATGTTTCTCAACCTCAGCAAGACATGTTGTATTCCCATGCTGGTTGAGGAATTCTGGGAATTAATGTCCACACCTCTTAACATTGCAATGCCCCTGTAAATCTTTGGTTTTCTGCACTCCAGTTATAGTTATTTACATTGTCTTAGAAAGTTTTATTTATTTAAGAAAATGTATATGGCTGCCTAAGTCATTCTCAGTGACTCTGGGTAGCTTACAAAGATAAAAAAATCTAAAATAAAACAATAAAAAGCAGTAATCCCTCACCCTTCTGATGACAACAATTAATCAAATAAGCTACTTGATGGGCTCCATCCCACTCTGGGTTCCCCAGGCCCACTGGCAAAACCAGGTCTTTAGGACCTTCCAAAGAGGGTGAAAGTTGGGGAAAATCTTATTTCTGTGGGGATAATGTTCTTGGTCTCACTAGATGTACCTCCTTAGGAAAGGAGTCCCATAGCATTCCTTGCTTCCCTACTCTGGTAGGTCAGATAGATGGTCCTTCAAATAATCTGATCCCAAGCCAGGTAAGTCTTTAAAAATGACAACCAGCACTATGAATTGGACCCAGAAGCAAATCAGCAACCAATGCAACTCCTGGAGGAGAGATGATCTATGTGCACACCTAAGCCACATGATCCACTGCCTTTAAGTTTTGCTGGAAGCCTCACTGCAACGTTATAGTACTGTAACATCTACTACTGGAATAAATATCATGGCTATATAATCTTGTTTGAGTTCTTTACTAGAAGAGGTCTTATTCATAGTGCCCTATATCCTTTCTCTTTTCCCTACACAAGAGCTGACTTTTGAACTTCCTGAAGGAAAGTATAGCAAAGTGTAGCACACCAGCTATACTTTTCCCACCTGCTTATTTTTCCTCCCTTTCAGGCTGAAAAATGGATGCGTGGAAAACTCCATGACCTGAAAGATGGTTGCAGATTTCAGGAATGGGAGCAGATAGCTCAGATATTACAGAGAGATATGAAGGATTTTGAGAATACCATCATCAAACTGAACCAGGTAAAATGTGGTCTGGGGGCTGCTTGCTCTTTCTTTAGACCAGGGGTTCTCAACCTTGGCAACTTTAAGACTTGTGGACTTTAACTCCCAGAATTCCTCAGCCAGCTGTGCTGGCTGAGGAATTCTGGGAGTTGAAGTCCACAAGTCTTAAAGTTGCCAAGGTTGAGAACCCCTGCTAGACTCTTACTTTATATCTGCATGAAAAAAGACACCTGAATCCAATTCTTCAGTAGCTCAGAATGGTTTAAACCTCCTCTTATCTACAAGATGGGGGAGAGGGGCGATACCAATTTTAAAAAATTAAGCGACCTTTTTCATTTTTTCTCTAGAAAAGAAACAAAGTGTGTATTCTTTTACTTCAGTGTAGTGTGTTAATAGACATAAGAATAAATATTGCATAATTGCATTCAAAAATGAAACTATCACATTTTGTTAACAAGTAAAGCTAGTGCAGATGTTCGTGAGATAGTGGGCTGTTGGCAATGTGCCAGTCTCTGCTTAAAGGCCAACTTTTTCTCCCTCTGTGGAATTTTCCACTAAATACCTCCCAGCTAAGTAAAAAAATAAAGTCCCGGAAGAAAGCAACAGCAAAGTCTGCTACTGTATTGTTGCCAAGAAAACAACATGGATAGGTCCATGAAATCACCAAGTCAAGCTCATTTTGAAGTTTTTAATGCTTAATTGTTTCCTTCTTACTTATTCCACGGTTAATTTAAAATCAGATGAAGATGAACTTTATAGAAGTTTCTATTAAAGCAGATTTTCTTCTGGATAAGAAAAGTACTGTGAACGAACAGGCTTCCCTTTACTTTCTCATCAGTACTTTTATCAGGACTTTTTTTGTGCCATTTTCTTAGGAATAAGGCCAAGTTTGCCATGTAGGATCTTGGCTGTCCACAAACCAAACTCCTTGCTGCTGAGTTCCTTCCTCTGCATGCTACCTTAATATTGCAGGAATTGGAAGTTTCTTTTCGTGGAATAGAGAGTTTCAATAGTTGCCACTCTCACCTGATTGGTTCAACAGCTATAGGATTCAACTGAGTATCCACATTACACTATTTTTTTAGGTCTATTAAGATACTAGTGTCCATACAGTCTTTTTTGTAATACCTTCCCACTGCCCCCAAATTAGTAGATTTTAATCCTCAATGTGTGAGAAGTTTGTCATCTGCTACAATCTATATAATGACATAATTTGGTAACTGACATTTGAAGGCAACCTTGTAACCTTACCAGTTGAATTCTCAGAGAGCTTAGTTGTCAAACTTTTAAAAAAAAAAAAGGACAGTCAAAACTGGGCAAAATAGAATATGCTGTGGAAATTTTATTTTTTGATTGCTACCTCATTTTCTACACATTTTCATTGGGTAAATGCATTTGCAGCACGACATGGTCGTAGATGCAACTTTGTTACTATATTTTTCCCATCTTCCCCACAGATGGGTGAGCAGCTGATGATCCAGTCAAAATCCAGCACAGAGATAGGGAGACGACTACAGACCCTGCAAGAACAATGGCAAATGCTGAAGCACATGGCAGCCAATCAGACTAAAACAGTAGCTGGATTCAAGAGCCTACAGGAGTTCAACCAGAAAGCTGAACAACTAGAAGCCTGGATCAGGCAAAAGGTAATTTACTGAGGATAAATAGGACCAAGATCAGAAAATGAGTCCCAGATATATTTTCTTTTCAGAGATGTGAATTCTGTTCTGGTGGCTAAAATATGAGCTGTTAATTTTTCTTCTGCATCTTTATTCTCTGTGATGGAAGCGGGCAACCTTTTTGAGTAGGGACCTCACTGGATGTGTCCGGTGATAATCTCTCTGGAGTGGGCAGCACTGAAAGCTTCTTTTTAAATTTTATTTTGTGGGTAGTTAGAATTGAAGTAGTTGCTCAAGCCTAGCAGAAGCCTAAATACCTATTTTTGCCCCTTAAGATCCTCTTAGAAGGCTAAACACAATCTTTTGGGGAGCTGAAATCCTAGCTAAGAAAAAAAGACTCCTGCTTACTCTGGGAGACGTCTCCAGAAATTGCAGATACAGAGTGAAGGGCTATTCGTTCTCGGTCTATGAGTTTATTGGTTCAAATATTTAAGGGACTTCAGGGTTGTCACATTTAAGAACTGCACTCTGACTTCTTTTTTTAAGTGGATAAATTTTCCTCAATAACCTAATATGGCACTGAGAAAATATTTCTTCCTCTCCCTCTTCCTCAGTTGCAGTAGTAAACCTGAATTTCATTTTTAACTGTTACCTTTAACTAAACTGTTTTTAAGATTTTATATGAAGGAAAAGTTTTGGCCAACTTTATTGAAAGCTCAAAACAGAAAGAAAGCCAGAAGTACCTTATGATGGGCAAAGTTTATCTTCAGTGCCCTTCAGTTTTCAAGGTTGTTGTTGTTTTTTTGCTTTGAATTCTAATAGACATTTTAACTTCAGTGTCTATAACCTCTGTCCTTCACTTGTATTCCATTTCTTGACATGAATTTAAACTTTCTAGAATTTCTTTCCTGAACTTGAAAAGAAAGAAGAAAATCTTACCCCATCATAAATATTAGCAACCGTATTTAATTTTGCACAATTTACACAGATCTTGATACTCAAGTTTCTCTGGTATGCACATTGGCAAACACAATTCCTGTGTGTATTTCTGAAGAAATATTTCTATCTTTTAAAATTTCTTGCAAATATTATGGTCACTGTGTTTTCCAGAATCTCTCATATTTTAAACATCTTTTCCTCACTAGGAAGAGAAGCCTTTGCTAGCTATTTTACTGCAAGAGAAGGCAGATAAGGTACAAATTACCCGGCAGATCCTTGACTTAAAGCAGGTAATCTTCCCGGCATTCCTTATAGGAATTTGTTTTTTGTGAGTGGCATTTTAAGGATGTTTCTGCTTCGGTTTTAGTTTCTGTATCTGATGCATTTGCAAAAAGATTATGTCTTAGAAGAGTTCTGCAGATCTTCCTTGGAGCAGACTGAGCAAATCCTCTTGAGGGGTCCAAAGCATTGTTTTGCAGGGTTAGCTGGGAAGAGTTTCATTCCCAAGGAAATGGACAGAGTTCTTTTGACTGCAAACTTTGCCACTGATTTATTAGATTCCTGCCCTCCTTAGTTTGTAAAGGCTTAAGAGGTGATGTGATTGAATCTGTCCAGTAATGTCAATTTCTATGAGGGAAGGAGTGGCTCTTTTATCCTTGAAGCAAGTGGTAGTGTGTCATTGCTTGACCCAAAAACCCTGGACATTTTTTTGTCCAATGTCCAACTTGCCTTTTTTTTTTTTTAGGAAAAGTTGTTGAGAAAGTGGTTTGGGCTGTGGCTTCAGTAGGCTGCAGAGAAGGGTTATCTGGGCCTTTTTCAGTTGGGTTTCAGACAGGAGCATAATGCTAAGACAACATTGCGTGCACTTGTTAATGACCTCTGGTAGAGTCAGGCAGTGGTGGCTCTGGTTCTCCCTGACCTTTGAGTAGTTTTCACAATCATTGATCGTGGTATCCTTTTGAGCCACCTATGGAGGCTAGGGTTGTGATTTTTCTCCTTTCTGGATAATTCCAGTTACTGTTGGCCGAAGGAAGAATTTAGGCATGAGGTTCCTCACTTAGATGGTGTCTCAAGGTTCAATACTTTCAATGCCTGTCCTTAAAATCTACATAGAGTTACTAGTTGATACCCAGTTGTACATCTTGACCATAGGCTGCCCAAGTGATGTTGCCAATATCTTGTGCTAAAGTCTGGAGGCTTTGAGGATTCAGATGGGGATGAATAGAATAGACTCATGCTCCATCTAAGGAAGAATGAGCGGCTGCGGGTCTTTGGGCTCTTGATCTTGGAAATTTTCCATCTTTAGTCCCCGATGGAATAGCACCATTCAGGACTGGTATGCAATATGGGAATTTTCTGGATGCACAACTCCTGCTAGAAGAGCAGCTGGTGGACAGGAAGATGTTTACACATACTGTACTTATCTGTTCCTGGACTAGGAGGTTCTCCAGACTTTCACTGAATGTGAATAGTAACAGCACACTTCAATATGCACACATAACATGGCTATTCTCTGCATTGTACTAGTTGCCAGTTTAATTTCTAATGGCACAAAGGGAGATATATTTTAATGAAAACTAAGTTTACATTACTTTATTGTCTCCTCTCTTCTGCTTTTCCCTTACACTCAACGTAGGAGGAGCTGCAATTCCAAGCTGTGCATGAGGAATTGAATAGTCTGGCTCAGAAGCTTGAGAAACAAGGGAAGAGTGAAAGCAGAAGTATCATGGCACGACGCAAGTACCTCAATAAAATGTAAGCCCAGGCAGCAGCTGGTAGACAGAATGTACTGATTCAGAGACAATATTAGGACTTGCTAAAGTGTCACCTGATCACATTTCTCTTAAGTTTCCATGTTTGATATCTTTCTATTAAAATTCAATAATCAAGGCAGCTTATTCAAGGAGACAGAGCTAAACCGTTTACCTGTCCTCCTTCTGTCCTTTCAGGTGGCTTCAGCTCCAGAGGACATTAAAGGAACATCATGAAACCTTGCAACAGGCACTAGAAGCAGCTTCTTTCCTTCAGCAAGCAGATGTGCTCCTTTCAGTCATTCATGCAAAGGTACTAAGGGCTGAGATTACATTCCAGGCAACTACACCATAAAAATAGATCTGGGTCATTGAATTACCTAGAAGCATGTATTTGGTTCAGCAGGATGGATCACATTTACCCAAGCCCTCAATTATTTGCAGTTAAATCCAGACTTGCTATATCCAGCAAGCTGATTGGATAGTCAACCCTGTACCCAGGAAGGAATTACTGCTTCCTTCTCTGCAATATTTGATGGCATACAGTTCTAAATATAATATCTTACTTTATAAAGGGTAGTGTAATAAGGAATGGTTTGATGCTGTAATATTGCCTTCCTTAACAGATGTACTATATTTCAGCTCCTAATAAGGTTGCTGTACAATTTCTAACTGTACATTATGAAGATTTATAATTGATGTTATTCACCCAGTTAGATTTGGAAGCTGTCCTGAAGCTCAGAAATCTTGGCTTGGAACATACAAAAATTCAGATTTTAAAATTTTAAATTATTTTTTTAAGGTTATTGGTTTTTATTAAGTAATTAATAGATATTCTAAGCCTGGGTTCATATATTTTGAGAAGTGGATAATGGATACCCCCAAAACCAGAATTAGTTTGCTAGCTGTCTCACTAGGTTTAAAGTCTATCTTTTCTGTTGCAGTTGAGGCATTTTTATGGAGAAAGAAAACAGAATGAATTTGAGTCAAATCCAGACATGGATATCCGGGATATTGCCAGCCAGGTAATGGTAAGTAATGGAATTATTATCTGGAATACTTAAGCAAAGAAAGAAAGTTATTCTTAGATCATAGAAGGTCTATTTAGATCATTAGATCCAACCTGCTACTCAGTGCAAGAATCCAAGTTAAAGTATTCCCAACAGATTTCTGTCCAGCTTCTGCTTGAACATATCCAGTGAATGAGAACCCACAATCTTCCTTTGTAATTGGTTCCATAGAGAATCACAGACATCATAAATTCTTCATAGAATTAATAGGGTTAAAAGAGACCTCTGGTCAAGTGCAGGAATCATCATACCATTCTGGACAAATGGCTGTCCAGTCTTCTATTGAAAACCTACAGTGATGGAGCACCCACAACTTCAGGAGGAAGGTTGAATAGCTTAAATAGTCAGGAAATTCCCCTTAGTTCAAATCTGGATTTCCGCCAGTTGATTCTTATATTGCCTTCAGGTGCCAAATACATCCCTTCATGTATTGGAAGATTGCTATCATGTCTCCCCTTACATTTTTCTTTTTTAAGCTAAACATACCAAGTTCCTTTAAGAGTAGTAGGATTTAGCTTTCAAGCCCCTTACTATCTCTGTTGCTCCTTAGACCTGTCTGTTTCTCTGTCCTTTTCCTCAGTTTTTACCTGTTTTCGCCAATCTGGCCACTTCCAGATCTGTTAAATTCAGTCCCATGCTTGGTTCTGATATTGGTCCTACACTTCAGCTCCTGAACTATATCCAAAGTCAGTGGTCCATCATACTAGTGGTTATACAGTGTTAATGTGCTGAAGGAAGCTAACTTTTCAGCAGAAGCCCTAGTTTCTAAAAAAAAAAAATGTCCTTGTTGAAATGCATTCTTTTAGAGAGTCGTTGAGTTCACATGGAGTTTATCCACTTTATAAATGCATGGCACAACATAGAAGAAACCAATCAGGACAAGATTCAGCAGTCCATCTGCATTTAAAAGACAAAAGCCACTCTTTTGAAGACAGCAAAGTCCACATTTTGGACAGAGAGGACCGCTGGTTTGAAAAAGTGGCCAAAGAGGCCATCTATGCCAAAACTGAATAGCCCTCTCTCAACAGAAGGGGAGGGATATGACATCATCTATCTCCAGTCTACAACACAGTCCTTTCAGCAGTTCTAAGAAGGCTCCACACACATTTGCACTACTCAGGTCACCCTGACAACACAGATAAACCTCCAAGTGGTCTTTAAAAGAATGCAAATGACCAGCTGTCTGCAAGGAGTATAAATCCTTCCATTCCCCACTATCCAGTCAGAGCTGAAGAAGCTTCTTGGAGGAGAAACAAAACGTCTTCAAAGAAAAACAAGAAAGTCCAGTTGCCTTGTGAAAAAGCACCTTTGGGATAACTATGACCTGGATGACTGAGAATCTCCACAGACATTTAGCTAATCCAAAACATTTCTGTGGAGATGGTATAAGTTAGATGTGCACAATGTGACTCATCAAACTGTATTTGGCTCATGAAGACCTCAATAGAGCTTTCTGTAGCCCATAACTGAAAAACAGAGCTTGGCAAGCACTTGCCTGGCCACAAAGTACATGCCAAGTCTGATGTCTTTGGTTTGGTGGGTCAAGTTGTACAGGCCCAGTCAAAGGCAGATGGCCAGTTACCACTCCTAATTATCCACGCTGTACTTTTTCCATCTCTTTAGATGCTAGATGTGACCATGTCACAGCTTATAAGCCTTCACCCCAGTCTGGCAGCACAAGTGTCCCTCAAACATCAAGATATTAAGGAGAACTGGGCCCGTTTACAGCAACTGTTGAGGTATTTGCTGAATATTTGATTTGTAACTCTTCATAGCTTTAGTTAAGTACTTCATTTATGAAGCATCTAATTTTGAAATTGATAGTTATTTTAAAAAAAAAAACTAGAGTTATTTGCTTTGCCTTTGCCTATGATGTAAAGATATTAAACAAATGAAGTGCCCCCACCAACATTTTTACTGTATATGTCAATCTGCTTTTGAGATACAGAAGGACACTTATCAGTGAAGCAATGAAAATCCCTTTTTTAAAGTTACCAACAGCACATTTTTAAGTAAAAGATTTAAATAAGTAAAGCAGTGTTTCTCATCCTCAACCATTTAAAGATGTGTGGACATCAGTTCCCAGAATTCCCTGGCCAGCATGCTGACTGGAGAATTCTAGCAGCTGAAGTCTACACACCTTAAATTTCCTATGGTTGAGCAAGCCTGGACTAAATGCAAAGAAATGTTGGAATAAAAGGAGGTAAAGGTAAAGGTAAAAGGAGAAGACTTGGTATGTGATCTATAAACTTTAATTCAGGGTCAATTTAAATGACTATTCTGGATGGATAGTTTCATATTTAAGGTCTCTTCATCTGGAATTCTAAGAGTTGTTCTTCCTTAAAAACTAGTCCTTATGTGATAGTGGTGAATATCTGTACCTCGGGTGTAGGATGTTACTTTCACCACTGAAGATTTTACCTAGCCTGGTAACAAAACGTTCAGAAACCAAACCAAAAGCTCGGAGAATGAACTTCCACCCTCATTAATCCTTATATTTGTTCGTTTTTCTTTCAGTATCCAAAACATTTTTCTTTCCTGCAGGTTTGAGGGCAAGGACTCATTTTATTAGTCTTCCACCTATGGGACCTTATATTTTTACCCCACAAAAAAAAAAGAATAAAATGATTTAAATAATGCTAGTTATAATGAACAGAGCTAAGATTGCTCTGAGACAGGTCTGAGTTTATTTTGTAGTGATTTTCATGTTGGTTTTCTGCCCCTTCTTTCCCTGTTCTTATTGTAATCATTTTCTTTTATTTTTCTTTTCTCCATTTTCCTACTTTCCCACCTCTTAGGAGTGATAACCCCACACAATTGGCTTTAACAAAGGAATTTATAGATTCAAGTTCTAATCAGGTACTGACTACAAATACAAAGAGTCCAGAACAAGATCCAGAAGGAAAGCTAGTATGGGAGGTAAGTGGTGCTTTTAGGGCCACACTTGGATTTCTTTATCCATATAAAACATGAATCTAATCAAATTTCCTTTGCCCCACATTTAGTTACATCACAGAAATCATAATTAATACCCTACTAGGGTAAATGTATTGTCCATGAATCTGCGATGACAGTTGAATCTTTGTTATTGATTCCAGATGAGCACATTGATCTTCACTTTGTTGGCTTAAGTCTGTGATTAAGCTACTACTGATTAAAAAGGCCCTCTTGCCGCAACTTTCTGTTCATACATTTGTGGGACAGAGTTAGCATTATTTCTTTCTGAAAATGTAGATGGAAGCATCTTTTTCTCCTTGATTGGCTTTGTGTATTTGGAAGCAGTAGAGAAGACCATGATCCGTTATTAAGTGATGGTCCTTTACTAATCCTACAGAACAAGTATGGCATTTTGGGATTTTTTAGTTAAATTAAATTCTGGCACAATAGGTTTTTGGATAATAAAGAAAGGAAGGAGACTTGAGAATAAAAAATGGGAGATGTTCAATAGTAATCTTCTCCCATTCTTGCTTCTGGAGTAGCCATGCTACAAAATAATTGGTATGAACCTCTGTAAAATGACAGCAGGCTTGGGTTAAAGTCAGTTGCCAGAAAAAGGATTCCATTATCTTAGACCAATGACAATCTATTTAGTAACTCTCTAATCATTGGACATATTTTCCTAGGTGCAAAAGAACATTCCAGAAATCACAGTACAAGGTGTAAGAAGCCAAGAGAACAACTCAGATTTCTTAGGAAGAGAAGCCATCAACAGTGATAGCAAGAGGTATTGACATACACAGTGCTGTCCTAGAGAAAGAGTTCTGGAAAGGGGGAAATGGTAAAAAAAATGGGACTGTGGGAATGTCCAGACAGGGAACTTGTCTTGATCTGCTTTATTGTTTAGCAACAAGTTTTTCTCATAGCCCGCTATAATGGAATGTGTGGATGACCTTAAGGAAAAAAATGGAAGAAGTGCTACTAGGAAACAATCAGACAAGAAAGGCAGGAGCCCCCAGTGATTTAATTGTCAGAGAAAGAAATTTAGGAAGGACCCGCCCTAATGGATTAAGCAGTTAAATGTGGTGATGAGAACCTTGTGTTGCAAGATCTGTTCAATGTAGATTTACAATAAAGTAAAATTAGTTCATCTTGTCATGTTTCCTGTCTCGTTTACCCAGAAAAGATGACTTACCTTGAAAGTACAAACTTCCCATTGCCACTTTTAAATCCTTGATCCATTAGGGAGGATCCTTCCTAAGTTGTTTTTTTCTCAAGCTTCTGCTCGTCTGGCTGTTTCCTAGGCAGCCTTTCTTCCCCAAGGTCATCCACGCTTTCCACTGCACCTACTGAAGAATGGTTCCTTGTATGTAGAATGGACTGGGGAAATATTTACAGGTTTATTCTGTGAGTTTCATTGAAAAGCTGTATTATCATGCATTTTAGATCAAATGAGGTGTGCAAATTGCAGTACAGAATATATAATTAATGTATAATTCCATGGAACTCCATTCCATTCCCCTTGATTTTCTGTTTTAAGTTCTCTCAAAGTTGCTCAGTGTTGCACGGCCACTGAGAATGTTCTGGGATTTGGAGGAGTTTGTTTCTGTTTTTGTAATGCTGGCGTCCTCTTAACTCACGGATGCCTTCATCTATGTATGGATGATGCTATTTGGCGACACGACAATTTTATCCCTGGGTTTGCTAATACACAGAATATGAACGTGGCACCTAAAATATTAGTAGCCTCCATTAAAATGTGTTGCAGTTCAAAGTGCTTGCAAATAAAATGAATAAACGCTCTTTGTGGGTTTAATATATAATGGCTGTTTCACACATGTGCACTTGATATAGCAGTAATCAACGGATGAATTGGAATGCATGACCTCAGCCTACTTCTCCATCTTCTGCAGGAGGAGGAAGTTTCCCAGACAGCCAAAGTCTTTAAAGGATCTGCCTCAGCAAGAGACACACCTTCAGGACATCTGCCAGGATGCTGATCGGGTAATGTCTCTGTAGAAGTTTCATGGATTTTCCAAGGCCTTTTCATGTTGCAGCCCACATGGATTCCCTTATTGTAGCAATAATGCTTGCTTTAGGCTGCTGGTTAGCTGCCACTTGGATGGAGAACAGGCCCTGGCATGAATAGCAGATCTGGTCTACACATGCAGCAGGATGAGGTGATAGAACATTGGGAATATAAACAGGGGGAAATCAATTCTTCAAAGCTCCTGCTATGCAAATAAAACAAACAAGGGAGAATGTTCTTTCTAAATTTCTCCTTGCTCTCCTAGATTTTTGTATTTCCAGGAATTCTATGGAAATCCTCAGTCATCCTGGTCATGGTTGTCCCAAAAGTGCTTTTTCAAAAGGCAACTGGACTTCCTTCATTTTTCTTTGAAGAAATTTTGTTTCTCATCCAAGAAGCTTCTCCAGTTCTGATTGAAGGAGGAAAAAAGTTGCCTTTTGAAAAAACACCTTTGGGATATTTCCAAGATAATCTTTTTGCAAGGAAACTTTAAAAATGTGAGCTTCAGAAATGTGATGTACTATTAGGCAGAGTAAGTCATCTACCTTAGGTGATGGATGCTAGAAAATGTGAGAACAGGGGCAGCAGAACGTTCCTTCTGAACTTATGGATGGTTCCGCGTTCAATCTTGAGTACAGCCAATAAGCTGTGATCTCAATCAAAGATCCTTATTGTTGTGAGTTGCCCAGAGTCTCCTCTAGGCAAGTTGGGTGGCTATATAAATTTGATTAATAAATAAATACATAAAATAAGTAGAAGAGAAGCTATAATCTTGCTAATGTGAAAGGATAATCCTGCTCTCAGGCTAGTTATCTTCAAGTGGTCCAACCAGTCTTAACTTTTTCTGAACTCTGCTGCCTATTTACCACTTGCCTGCTCTATGAGTAAAATCTTTGTCAATGTCAAAGTAGATGTGATCATTTCTGATCATTATATATCATTTTCCAGAAAAGTTTATTCAAAACAGTTTGCATAGAACTCTGTAGTTTTAAACACTGATTAGCTCCCACTGCATAGCGTAAGAAGCTCAAAGATTGTTAGCATCTTGGAGTTGGGTGGTCTTAATAAATCTAATAAATAAAATAAAATAATAAAATAAAATAAAATACAAACGGAGCTGAGACACTGGGCTTTCACCCATTTGTAGCTTACTTTCTCACATTATCACATGGAGGGAAAACAACATAGAAAGGAGTTTGTGCTCAGCCAATTAATACTAGAGAAAAGCAGATCCTTGTGAATAATAATAATGTATTCTATTCTTGGGCTCTGTCTGAAGAGGAAGTCAAAGAGGCAGAGGTATTGCATTCTGAAGATCTTAGGTTAAAACCATTGCATCTCCTAGTTCAGTGATGGCGAACCTTTTAGAGACCGAGTGCACAAACTGCAACCCAAAACCCACTTATGCATTGTTGGGTGCCGGGTGGGTGTGGCCCATTGGCTGGGTGTGGCCAATTGGAGGTGTGGCTCATTGGGTGGGCGTGGCTTTGGTGATAACAGCAGACTGGATGGGACTAAAAAGTTCAATCAATCAATTCCAACTTTGCAAGATCTTTTTTTTTCCCCCGCGAGAAGTTGAAATTGACTGATTGATTGAACCTTTTTTTTTTTTTTTGCACACGGCAGTGGAGGCCTAAAGCAAAAAGGTTTTATTAAACCCAGCCGAAGGCCTAGGACTGGGGCGATGGCGCACGTGCCCACAGAGAGGGCTCTGACTGCCGCCTCTGGCACCCGTGCCATAGGTTCGCCACCACTGTCCTAGTTAAAGGATTATGAAATGAAAGCTCTTTACTTGAGACCTTCAAGAGCATTGGTGATATTCTAGAGAATAAAATCAGTGAGTAGGTGATATGACATACAGCATATGGCAGATTTTTATTTTAGTCTATATTAAGAATATATATATTTTGCACCACTTAGGAAATACAGCAGTTGCTACATACTGATCACAGGTGGAGTCCAGAAATGGAAGATGCCCTTGAGGAGCTAGGAGAATTATGGGCTGAATTAAAAAAAAGGCATCAGGAAAATGGCAAGGCATTGCAAGAAATTGACACAGTGAGTAGTAGCCATCCCTGGAAGCAATATTTTATTCTTCCTTTCTCCTTTGCAATAGTTCAACAAGGATTGTGTATGTTTCCCCTGCTATCTTGGATGTGGAGATGGAAGCAGGGGAATGTGCCATGTTAAGTTGGGACAAACACTACCAGATAGGCTCTGGTGGAATGGGAAACAGGAATTGAGAGAAAAAAAGTCCCTTCTAAAACTTGTATCTCACTCATTGCAAGTTCTAATCCCAAGATAACTTCCATTTTTGTTCTCTGTCGAAGCGGTTCATTTGCTTGCAAACCAACCTTGCTCTGAAAAGTTTTTTTTACAAGCATCTGGATTTGCTTCTTTGTTGGTGGAGTGTTCCTACACAATTTTTCCTACTTGTTATAGAAAGCTGACCCTGGGATTTGTGTGAACTCTTTTCTCCTCCAAAGGAGACTACTCGGGTGCTATATATCATAAACTAGATGTATCTCATATACGTTATTCCTTTCTCTTTGCAGGCTTTGCAGCTGGTTGGGGAGCTAGAAGCTGCTGAGTGTTGGCTGGAAACTGTGGCAGGCTTGCTCTCTGAGCCAAGAGCAACAAAGAACCTAGATGACCTCCAGAGGGATCTGCAAAAAGTTGGCACCTTGAAGAACAAAGCTGGAGCATGGGCTACTAAGATTCACACTCTGCAGGAAGAGATGCAGATGGTGTCCTCCTCTGAACACACAGCAGCTGCAATGATTCAGAGAAAAATGAGACGAGTAAAAGAAAAGTGAGTTCCTAAGGATCAAAATACTGTAGTGTTTTCTGTACGGAAGTAATATAACAGCTGGACTTTTCAGAAGGTAATACAAAGAGACCACATTTCTTCAGGGAGCCCTTATTTAAAAGACAGCTAAGCAAGAAAAGTTGACTTTTAAAGGACTAGGATGGTTTAATAAGGTCTTTCTTGTTGCTAGCAATTTATCTTCTGAGCTAACCTGTTGTTTCTGATTGATAAATCAGAATAAATTTCTCTGTGCCTTATATTTCTAAATGGTTTACATTTTCTCACCAGGCTGGCCTGTGTGCAGGAAGCCCTCCAGCACCAAGCATCCAATTTACATGATTCCCTGATTTTAATGGAGTTCTTACAGAATGTCCAGATGGATCAAAGAAACCAAATAAAGGTGAGAAGCAAACAAAAGGAGGATAAATGAATTACAGAATTATGGAATAACAAAAAGTTGGAAGAGACCTTGGAGGTCTTCTAGTCCAACCCCCTGCTGAAGCAGGAGACCCTATAGCATTGTAGACAAATGGCTGTCAAATCTCTTCTTAAATACCTCCTGTGATGGAGCACCCACAGCTTTTGAAGGCAAGCCATTCCACTGATAAATTGTTCTCACTGATAGGATATTAGGTTGAACCTCTCTTTGATCAGTTTCCATCTGTTACTTCTTATCTTGCTCTGAGGTGCTATGGAGAATAGATCAGTCTCCCTTTTCTCTGTGACAGAAGTATGATCTCAATCCCTTTCAGTCAGAGGGAAATATACATTATGAGAGACTTCTCTTTATTGTTTAGTTTGAATAGCAGGATATCATCTGATATTTCAGTTCAGAGTTAATTGACCAAAGTAAGGTTTTTGCTATTAGGGTCAGGATTTCAGTCCTTGCTTGGATAGAACTTAGTTCTGTGATTGTACATTCTCTCTAAACAGATTATTTGGTGACCAAGAGTAGTCATTCTTTTTCCAGGATTCATTGAATATCAAGAGAAATGTGAATTTAAATTAAAATTGATAAATACTTTTTATAGCTGAATTTTAACCTCATTCTAGTTCTGATAATCTCCAATTGTGAAAGCATTAGCTCTAATCCACTAACTGTAACAACTGACACTAGATGAATTGTCACAATAATCTGCCCTGCTGTTTACTGAAATATCTCTTAAAGAAGTTCATGAGAAAGAACTGGCCTTTAGAAATATGATAGATATCAATCTCCCTTTTAGGTTGATTGATAAATTGATGTTAGCAGCTTGTTGTTAATGCTTTGTAAGCATATCTGGTAAATAAATCCAAGGGAAGCCTGTTCTATAGTAGTGCCGTGTCTTTGAGTAGTCTCCAAATTTAAATCTGTCAGAGTGTCTCATTTGCCGTTGACTGAAGAAACTTTCATTTTAAATGTTTACTAATTACTTTTAACATCTATTATATGTTTGCTATATATTTTGTTATTGTTTATTTAAGCATGTAACAATCTTTACTTTTTAATGTTAAGACAGGGGTTTTTTTTGCAGGATGGTTTAAAATATTGTTTGTTACTGCTTCTATAAATTCGCTATTGTCCTTATTTTAAGATAATGCTTAATATAGATGAAGACTGGGAACTAGTTTTTTATTATTTTATTTTTATATAAAAAATTAGAAAACTCAAAGGCTTCTATCTTTCATGTATTGCAAAACTATTATGTGCATGAATGTCTTGTTACTGTTAATTTTTTATATGTAATTGACATTTAAATCAGTTTACCGGTATTTACAATAGGAAAGAAATGTCAACTAATACTGTATATGCAGCTCACATCTCTAATTAGTTCTTCCAGTTAGGATTCCTTATGGATAAAATGTTTGCCTGAATATAAAAAGAGAGATGAGATGAGTTCTTCATATCATTTTATAACTGATAGAGAATTGGTACCATTGTATGCTTGTCAGATACTCTTTTGTGTGATCATAAAAGCATTCAGTACTCCATTTTCTTCAATTCCCAAATGTTGGCATGCAATTCAAAAGAAAATGAGCATCAAGAAAAATAGTAAGTCTTCCAAAACAAAATTAATATGTGAAGCAAATTTTGTCCTAAAGAGAATCACTATGAAAGACCGCATCATAAGAACCAATCACAGGCTTGTAATTTTTGTAAATAGCATGAAAAATCCTCTGGTATACTAAGGAGATTCTGAAGCACTTAAAGTTGCCAGCCCCTGTGGACTTCAAAAGAAGTTTTAACTGAATATACAATGATTCTGCTTTTCATGGGAAGGGAAAGCTCATTGAGCAACTATTAGTTATTACTCCAATTGCTTGGTTTAAGATATAATCTCCAAACCCTGTCCAAGTTCTTATGAAAGGATTATCTTGTTATTTTCAATTTGGATTTCCCTCTAATGTTAATATAACGTGCTCATACAGAATAAAGCAGTTGGAATGCTATTGAATACTAATCCTTCACATCATATAATACATTGGAATGGGAACATGTTAAATATACCAGTTTCTGAATTAACCTACAAAGGCAAAAACCCAGGAAGCAAAATTTATCATTTATGACTATAAAGTAAATTGTATGATATAAACTTAAATCTAGAGCATTTTTTTCCTGAGTTTTAAATAGAGCAGAATTTAGGGTGGGTAAAAATTATTCTGAGACTTTGGACTATTTTCATGATATTTGGATGACAAATGTAAATCATACATATCATTAGATATGTACATTGGTATAATACTGAATTTTTTATTTCTCTGACCAGTTTGCTGGCAATTTCATTTGAATAATCAGGAAAGATTTTATTTTCTTGCCTTAAACTTTCTGAGTAGAGCAGTAAGGCTGGCTGGAGTATTTTGGGAGTTGAAATCCACCCATCTTAAAGCTGACAAGGCTGAGAAAGACTGGAGTAGAGAAATATGGATATTATATTATCTTTTCTCTGTATATAAGATTTTACAGGAAATTTCACATTAAAACTTCTCTATTTTTTTACACACATACTGTATATTTGGTGTGACGTTTTCAGTTATTATTTCAGTTGTCAAGATGGGTTGCTATATAAATTGATTCACTGGTTAAATAAATATGGATTGATTACCTGTTACCATTTTCATCCAAATTGAGATTTACCAGGCATATGTAGCCAGATCTATTTCTAGATATCCTGTATGATGCTAATCACAGCACAGTCATGTAAAATGCAATGTTGTATAAGTTCAGTTCCTAGATTTGAACCCAATAAAGTAGATCAAACTAAATACCATGTTTCCCTGAAAATAAGACCTATCCCAAAAATAAGCCCTAGCTTGATTTTTACATGTGCGTCTAATACAAAATACCCCCAAAATAAACCCTAGTTAAGACCCCGCCCACTCCATCCCACTGTCTGGTTGCACGAGGTAGGGTGAGGCACACATGTAAAAATCAAGCTAGGGCGGGGGAGGATGGCGCTTCCCCATGCACCCTGCACCTACTTACCTCAGAACCGTCGCAGCCAGGCCTCCCATGTCCTCACATCTGCCTCACCTTGCGGCAGTGGCACCAACAGCCGTGTCCAGCAGGAGCCTGCGTGGCTACCGCCAGCCCACTTCTGTGGCCATTTGCTGCCGCTAGTGCGCGTCGCCCCTGGCCTCCGTTTCACCAGCAGAAGCCTTCAGGAAAGCCCAGAATGGAGCTCCAGGTTGAAAGCCTCTTTTCCTGAAGGCCTCTGCCGGCGAAACAGAGGCCAGGGGGTGGGCAATGCATGCGTCAACCCGAAGCTCCATTCTAGGCTACAGATGCCTGTCCTGAAGGCTTCTGCTTGCGAAACGGAGGCTGGGGGGCAACGTAATGAGCAGCTGGAGAAGAAGTGGGCTGGCAATGGCTACGCGGGTTCCTGCTGGAGGGAGTTGTTGGTGCCGCTGCCGTGAGGCAAGACAGTAAAAAAAAAAAGCATCCCCTGAAAATAAGACCTAATGCCCCTTTTGGAGGCAACAAAATTATAAGACTGGGTCTTATTTTCAGAGAAATATGGTACATCTTATCAAGTCCCAATAAGAGTGGTAACATGCTCTCACTGTAGTCCATGAAATAGAAAATTTATCCCTGACCTTATCAGATAGTCCTTGACTTATAACAGTTCATTTAGTGATTGTTCAAAATTACAACAGCACTGAAAAAAATGAAATTTATGACTTTTTCTAGCAGAGAGAAGTTCCCTGAAGATGGGCTCCAGCATGAGTCCAAAAGCTCAGAAGAGTAAATCGCTAGTCCTAGTGACCAATCCAATATTGATTTATGATCATTTTTCATACTTACAACCATTGCAGCATCCCCGTGGTCACATGATCAAAATTTGGATGCTTGGCAACTGGTTCATAGGACGGTTGCAATGTCCTGCTGTCATGTGATCTCCCTTTACAACTTTCTGACAAGCAAAGTCAATGGGGAAGCTAGATTCACTTAACAACCGTGTTATTAACAACTGCAGTGATTCACTTAACAACTCTGGCAAGGAAAGTCATAAAATGGGGCAAATTCACTTCACAACTGTCTCACAGTGACAGAAATTTTGGGCTCGATTGTGGTTGTAAGTTGAGGGCTACCTGTATAAGCTCTTTGTGCTCAAGTATTTCATCAGAATCTGATGAGTACACTCTGTCTCTAAAAGTCCATTGGTAAATCAGATGTTTCACATCTGAAGTTTTAATAAAGGCAGCAGGACATCCTTTTCCCCATCTTTAGCAATGCTAAAACTGTTTCTTTTTTCTGTGTCACTATGCTTCCAGATACTTAACCTGGTTTGTGGTATTTTATTAGCTTTTTTTAATATGCTTTTAAAGTATTTTATAGCAGCTTTAGAAATTGTTTGACTAATTGGGAAATCATGTTTCCTCTTATATGAATTTTACCTGTAGTTGTGTCAAAAGGTGTTTAGAATATATTCATTGAATCTTGTATTCTTCTAAACTTACTAGTAATGTTCTTACTCATTTGTTTAAGAGAGGACATCACCTTTGCAACTTTTTCAATGGATATTTCAGTGAACAGCTGGTGCTGTAGCATTGTGGCATCATTGTAGCACAGGTTAGGGCTTCAGGATCTTCTTCGTTTTGAAGATATCTAGGCAGCATATATGTTATTTAGACCAAGAAATATAGATTGGTCTTCTGCTTATCAATTCTAATTAAACAGATTTTCTCTCTCCCCCCCAATCGTGTATGATTCTTGGAGACTGCCTGAACAAGTCCCTGAAGTTTTCTTGGCAAGGTTTTTCAGAAGTGGCTTGCCATTGCCTCTTTCCTAGAGCTAAGAAAGAGTGACTGGCCCAAGGTCACCGAGCTGGCTTTGTGCTGGATCTTCCAATTTCTAGTCTTGATGCCTTGACATCACTACACAAAACTGGGTCTCAATTAAGGAGATACATACAACTCTAAGGCAACAAGAACAGAAAAACACCCAAAATCTTGACTATCAGTTTAAATAACAAATGATTAATCTCACTGAGTAGGATTGTATTGTCTTACTACCTTTCTGTTTTAAATTCCTGCTTTGTAGAATGGAAATAATGGTGTTTTTATTTCCAAAATTGCTGTGAAAATTAATAGAGTGATCTATGTATTTTAATACCAATATTGCCTGTTTACTTATTTTGCTTCAGGGTGTACCAAACCAGTTCAGTTCCCCAGAACCTTTGCACCTTGTCTTTGCCCAAAGCGCTCAACAGGGGAGCAGTAAGGATATGAGTAGACCACTAAAGGAATTACAAGAAGCAGTGGAAATGCTGAACAATGTAGTGAAGGAACGAGAGCAGGCCTTGAAGGCGGCGACTGAAACCGAGAGCCTGGAGTGCTTTACTCCCGTCATGAAAGATAAGGAGGAAATTGGGGTAAGAGGAGGCTAAGAGGTGCCACATATTAGCATACTTCTCTAATGGTTAGAAAGAGAAGACCTACATTTTTTACCCTGCCCCAACTCATTGCTTGTTGTGATAATGTTTCTGGCATTGAAATAAGAATTGGAGGCCTACAGATCAATATTTTTTTCCTATTAAAGATATGTCTGAACCAGCAATACAGAACCTTTTGCAGGTTGTTATGTTTTTTGGCTTGCTTTAATCCAGTGCAACTCTTCATGCAGACTAAAATCTTGAAAAGTCTTTAGAGGAAGCTGATTTATATCAAGTCAGACTGTTATGGTCCATTTAATTCTATATTGTCTACTCTGACTGTCAACCGTGCTTTGGAAAGGAGAATTTCTCAGAGATTTAGAGATCCTGGGGATTGAACCCGAGATCCTTTTGCATGTAAATCATGAGCTTCACCTGTGATGAGTTCCCCAAAGTAAATGAGCTGCTCAGGCCTCCTCACATTTCCTCCCTGATGTTCTTATATTATTGAGACTGTTTATACCTCATACCTTTTCACTGTATTCCTACATGGCTTTCTGCACACTCACATCCCATCCATAAAGAAATTATGGGAATTTCTTGGAACTAAATCTTCAAATACATTGGATCAAACATGTAAGTGGTCCAATCTAGCACTACAGTGGATATTATGAAATGCTTTAACAAATTCCAGAGATGGGTCTGCAAATCTAAGAATCCTAAGGGAAGATGGCACATGTCAAAAAACGCGTAAGACAATATTTTGTTTAAAGAAAAACAGCTGGTATGAATATCCTAGTTTTCATATTAACAAATGTGCAGTAGGGTGCAAATTAAGACCAAGATGCAGCCATTTTAGAAAAAAAAAACACAATGTAAAACAGCTTGGTCAGAAAATGTCCTTAAATGATGGAAGGATGATCCAAACTCAGAAACCAAGAATTCATCTAGACAAGTGCAACTTCAGTTGTTAGACAGATAGCAATAGCACTTAGACTTATATATCGTTTCATAGTGCTTTTCAGCCTTCTCTAAGCGGATTACAGAGTCAGCATATTGCCCCCAACAATTAGGGTCCTCATTTTACCAATCTCCAAAAGATGGAAGGCTGAGTCAACCTTGACCCAGTCAGGATCGAACACCTGGCACTCGGCAGAGTTATCCTGCAATATTGCATTCTAACCACTGCACCACCACAACTCTATATAACAGTGCTGGCTGTGGAATTCTGGGAGTTGAAGTCCACATGCCTTAAAATTGTCAAGGTTGAGAAATACTGCTATATAACATCCTATCAAGAAATGTCGAGCACTTGAGTGCCATTGCTAAGCTTCAAGTTTGTTCTTTCTCTTCTCAGCTGAGCTGGGTTACCTCACAGATTGAAACAATCCGTGAGAGAGCAGAAATACTGGCTGAGGACCTCATCCAAGCAGAGAGGAGTTTTACTACAGTCAAAAGCGAGATGGATCTGCTTGATGTGCAGGGCATACAGGAAAGGCAAGAAGAGATAGAGGTGAGATCCAGAGCTTTGGTTCTGACTTTTGTATCTTGAAGAATGTTGAAACTGTGCTGGTTTCCCCCACTTTGGAAAGTTTTCGGGTGGCACTGGTTTTTAAAATTAGAATTAATTTTAATTAAAATTCACTGTACAACTATTCTGTTTTCCTCCTTTGTGCTTCCATTTGTAAATATAAATGGAGGAACTGGTAGGAAATGAAAGAGTTACAAATGGAGAGTAATATCATCTGGATCATCTTGTAAAAATCCAGGAATGAGGTAAGGAAATTGTTTAATAACTGTTCAGTCAGGAACCGTTCCATCTCCTGCTAATCTTGTCTGCACTGACAGCTAACTTTTCTTGTTTAGCTCATTCTGTTTTTCTTTTCTTTTTCTTTTTTTATGACTTTGGCCTTAGGCTAATCTCAAATGGATGGGAGTGAGAAATGTCCTGGGATTTAGAATTAGATTGGCTCTGGTATATAAGAACAAATATATTTTGCTGTAGTCAGAATGTCCCATATGACACTTACTGGATGCTTAAATGCGTTCCTGGACTTTGTAGGTGAAGATTTGGAAATAGAACATATTCCAAGGGTTAAGTGGTGTGAAGTGCTTCTCATGTTTGCACAGATGTAAATGCAGCAACAATTAGCACAATGTGCACAAACTTTCTTGGCTCAGTAGCCACTCCCCTCCCCCAAATAAGTTTCATTATCTAATACCATATGTGGGAACTATAGATCTTTAAGAAGACATTATACATAATATATATATATATATATTCTCTAATTACGTTAAAAATTCGAATCCTGGGTAAAGCCATGCAGTAAAATAAATAAATACGAACACCAGGATAATATCAAACTATAAAAAATTAATAAAATGCTGAGCTTTCGTCGGTCAGCACTACCGACATCATCAGAGCATAAAAGCAAGTCACTGGGAGTCCTCTTTTATATTATCGACTGGTTTTGCACGCGGCTCCTGGACCTGGTCATCGGTCCTTCCAACATCCTTGATTGTTTAACTGCTGGGACGCACGCATTGGCTGCTCCTTTGATGTTTTTCAAGGCTGTTATACCATTATCCACTTTTCTTCCAATTCCTCTCCTCGTATCTACCCCGCTATCTGTTATCCCACCGCCAATGTCACGAGCTGCTGTTCCCCCCTCCCCTTTCTTTTTGCCGGTCACTTTTTTCGTGCGTGTCCAATTGTCTACCTCCACCCCATTGAGTCTCGGGCTTGCAACCCTTTCCTCCCCCTTTTCCTTTTCGATCGTTTTCCTCATGTATCCGCAGTTATTAAATTTTTATAGTTTGATATTATCCTGGTGTTCGTATGTATTTATTTTACTGTCGGGTTTTCTCCCGCGTAAAATTGGAAGTGTCTTGGCGACATTTCGATGAAGTCCCATTCGTCATCTTCAGGCTGGTGTTTTCAGCTTCGTGATTCTAGGAGTAATGTGTGCCTTGTTACCATTGTAAATTGTGGAAGATTATCTCACAAGATTAAGTTTGACTATAATTTTGAGCAGTACTTTTTTAAAGAGGTATGATGTTTATTGGTTCTGACCAACTGTGGTTTTTTTTAGCTTTTTTTTTTTTTCAAAAATCAATAGCAAAAACCTATCCTTTCCAGGATAGCAACAAGGATTTGCTATCTGGAAGGAACCAGGAAAGTGTCTTCACCACTGTGAAACCTGTTGTCTTGTGTCCCACAGAGTGATATGTCTCAGCTGGAAGGAAATATAGAGGACCTGGAAAGAGCAGTTACTCACCTGGTTCAAACTGATGACTCCAAACCGATTCTTGAAATATTAGAGGCTTGGAAAGATCTCCAAAAACTGGTGCTAGAAAATTCAGTTCATGGACAGCAGACTGTTCGCTTATGGCAATTCTTTAAAGGCTACCTGGCCATTATGTAAGTTAGTTTCTCTTTCTCTTCTCCTTAAAATCTTGGGATGCAAGATGCCCAGAATTAAGAACTGTCTTAAATTCCCCCCCCCAAAAAAAAATATTGTTTTTCAGATTTTCTTATAATTCATATCATATTAGCTTTCCAGCTAGTCTTATTTTCTTTGTATTTTTTATACTTCAGCAAGAATGCTTCTTGCTCTTAGAGAAATCTTGGGGAGGGCTTGATGTTTTAAAATTAATTAAAGATCAGAATCAGGAAATAGTTCTTTTATTTAAAAAAAATCAAACCTTCCTTAACCTCCAAAGTGTTTTGTTACTAATCACGTCTGTGAGATGTTTTTGTTTTGAAGACAATTCAATTAGCTTCTTAAAACTATTTCAGTTCTAGGCACAGTATTTCTTGACATCGAATTGCGTGCAATTTGAATGTAAATTGTCACAGTTGACAAACATACTGGGAAGTTGCCATTGGCTACAGAATTCCTTGCTTTATACATCTTTATTGAGCAAAATACACATACAAATATTTTAGTGTTGTCAAGTATGATGACCTATGTGTGAGTTCCTTGCTAACTTTTAAACAATAGTGGGAGAAGCTGACATTGTTTTTACATCTTTAATATTTCCTGAGTAGACTTTGAGACAAGGTAATGGAAAGTGTTTCCATATCTTGCCAAGAAAACTGAATGGAAATGTCCGTGTAAGTCAGTAGGTGTCCAGCACAGCTTGAAGGTGATTTGATGTTTTTAAAAGGCTTAAGGGAAGTGCTGCCTAGCTTAATTATGAACTATAGGCAGAGAACTTCTGCCATCTAGTGACCCAGATGCAGAATAGATTCTTGGCTCTTAATAGCTAATGTTCTAGGTCAGGAGTCTTTAAACTTGGCCCTTTTATGACTTGTGAACTTCAACTCCTAGAATTCCTCAGCCAGCCAGGCTGGCTGAGGAATTCTGGGACTTGAAGTCCACAAGTCATAAAAGGGCCAAGTTTGAAGACTCCTGGTCTAAGTGAATATTCTGTGGCTTTGTTGGTAGTGCAGAACAAGGATGGGTAGGCTTCAGATCTGTCTGGTGTGTTTTATTTATTTTTTAATTAAAACCTGAGGACCCACCATCCAAACCCTGGTGTAAAAGATATGCATTTAGAATTAAGGAATAAGTTGCCCATAAGCATCTTCTGTTTATTATATTCTGCCAGTGGCAGAATGATCTGGAAATGGGGGAGGTAGTTGTAGAGCCCCTGTCATGGTCAGATCATTCACTCCTTAGGATGGACTTCCGGACCGCTCCCCCCTGCCGCAGGGAGGAGGAACCGCTTAGATGGTTCCGCCCCAGGCGCCTGATGGACCCAGAGAGGTTCCTGACGGAGCTTGGGCCATATCCTGAGGACCT